TTTTTTTTTTTTTTTTTTTTTTTTTTTTTTTTTTTTTTTTTTTTTTTTTTTTTTTTTTTTTTTTTTTTTTTTTTTTTTTTTTTTTTTTTTTTTTTTGACGTTAAGGGATCAAACCAGAGAGAAGTACTTGTAACTTGGGAAACCACATGTGCCGTGACAAGGGGAGGGGGTGGCATTTTTCATACTGTCCTGTCATATCTTCCCGCTTCTATGCTTCAGCGTGTAAGGGTGTCATTTTAGGAAAGGAACTTTGTTTTTGAAAGCCAGTGGCAGAAAACAACTAACCTCGAGCCTACATTGAAATTATTGAAAAACTTAGTAGATTGAGCTTTTCCTAGGAACATGTTGGGGCCTCGCACTAGATCATTTTTTCGACAGCTTTTCTAGATGTCCAAATGTAGAAGTGTGCAATTTTTAAGCTTGTGTTTTAGCTACTTCTCTGAATTCTATGTCCTCATTTTCACATGCTTTTAATTTTATGTGATCTCTTCCAATGGGGATTTCCCTTTCAAATTCATTAATATTTTATTTAGAAGGCTGTCTTATAACTTCTCCATAAGTGACTAATCTGTCCTTTGGGGAGGGGAATCTCCCTCTGTTGTCTACTTCCTCAGACACTTGCCAAAGACTTTCACGTTTGTCAGAAACTTCCTGCAGAACTCTCAAAAGTTTCAGTCAAAACACTGACTGTTGGAATAAACTGGAGGAAACCTAACCCCTGTTTGAGTTGCAAGAGTCATATCTGGGGTATTGGTCCACAGAGAAGCAAGTTTAGCCAGGCCATTACTGAGCAGTCAGGAATTCATTACATGGGGCTTGTTGAATGAATCAAGTGGATGTTGAAAAACTGGAGTCCATAACGCTGATCGCTCTCTCTTTCCCTGGGAAACTTGCTCAGAGTTGCTGTGCCTGGTGGTGAAATCATGTTCAGCCCTGTCTTCAAAGCCGATCGCCTTCGGGTCAACTTGCAACTGGCTGTCAATCGCCTAAAACTCCTGGAAAGAAAGAAAGGTGGGTAATACTCCAGGCAGCCCAGCCAACTGTGTCTCAGATCCCCTCAACTCCCCCCTGCCCACTGCTACATCTCCTAAGGTCTTATTTACCAACTTTGGAATTTATTTATTTAGTTTCAAACTATCAGAGAAAGTTTGTTTAGAAAGTCACAGAGGTAGAAGTGAGCTGTATAGAAGAAATGGGCTCAGGAAACAAGTTACAGAGGCAAAAGAAGGACCCTTGGAGCTTAGGAGAGAGTCTAGGAAAGCGGGCCTGGGGGGAAGGTGGTGGGGAAAGGCAAGGGCGTGCTCCCTAGAGAGAGCCGCCACCAACTTTGAAACTCAAAATAACATTCATGACTGGTGGGAATGACTATTACAGTGATCAAATCATTTAAAAATTTCCAAAGACGGTTCTGTATCTTGACTATATCAATATTGATACCTTGGTTTTGCAAGATGCTGTCACTGGGGAAAACTCAGTAAAGTGTACCTTGGATCTCTCTGTATTACTTCTTATAAACTTCAAGTGACTCTACAATGATTGCAAAATAAAAAATTTAATTTTTAAAAATTTATTGTTGACAGTATTACAGAGGTTCCCT